TTAACCCCCCCCCCCCCCCCCCCCCCCCCCCGGGCGCACGTCCTTGGTGCGGTGCGAGGGAAAGAGAGTCCTGGTGGGTACAAACGGGGGTTAGAGTGACTACCATCGTCTTTTAAGACCACAACAACGACAAGAAGAGCAACAACCACACCCAACAATGAGAACAACAACAGCATCAGCATCAGATAATACAACACTTGTCAATACCAACATCAAAATCTGAGGTAGGTATCATCTTGTTCAGGTTCCTACGCCGAAAAGCAGCACGCGATGTTGGCCGGACGATGATCGCCGCCGCCCAACACACACAAAAACGGACTTAAAAACTACTCACGTTTTCTGAAGAAAACACAAGACACACGATTTCTTAATCCCCCCAAAAAACAGGAAATGCGAGCGAGGGAGCAGACGATGCGCGGGGAGCTGGTGAACGGCCTGGCCGGCGCCCGCAAGATTTTCGCCCAGCTCAAGCAAGGGAAGCAGCGCGAGCAGGAGCTTCGCGCGACGAACTCGATCCTCCAAGCCAAGATCGCGTCCTCCTCCTCCTCCTCCTCGACCGGTGAAGAGGAGAGACAAGTGAGAGGCACCGTCGGGGCGTGGGGGCGGTGGGGGGGGTGGTGGCTGACAAGGGCGGGGATTTGGGGGGGGGGGTCTCGTTCGTGTATGACCAGTTAGCTTTTGAAAATACACAATCACGGGAAGACTTTACCCGTTCGAGAAATAGGACATAACCCCAATTGAACGCATGTGTTGAATGTTGAGAAAGCAGTTTCTGTGTTTGTTGTTGTTGTTGTTGTTGTCTTCATCGTCTTCTCTTGACCTTCTATCACGTTCTGTGACGTGTACACGCAGAGTGTGCATGTTGTTGTTGTATGTTTCTTGTTTCATCTACAGTATTCTTGTCGCCAGGCTGTTGACCTCTCGGTTTCTTGTTTGGCGCAACAACCTCACGGGACCACGCAAGACGAAGACCGCCTTTTTGTTGCCTCCTGCCTGCAGTTCTTGCCTTCATATTTTTTGTGCGCGAGAATGGCTGAGCAGCCCCGTCCCCCCACTGCCGCGCTCCCTCACGGCTTTCTTTGCGTTTTTTTTTTTCTTCTTCTTCTAACCCCGCCCGGGGAAATGCGCGACCCTCGTTTTGCCCTTTTCTCACAAGTATGCAATGTACACAGCCGCATCTCCTCCGACATCCATAGCATCTTGACACCATCGTTGCCTGTTCCGGCGAGTCACCGCCCGCGGCTCGACTCGTGCGTCCGTTCGAGCCACGCAAATGTACACCCCTTGACTCTTTTTGCGCGTATCGTGTGTTCCTTTTTGTTCAGGGGGGTGGGGCGGCCGCTCCCCGGACCCCCGAGAAGGCTCCGTCCTCTTCCAAGAACGGCGCGGCAGCGACGGCTCCAACCTCAGGAAGCGATCGCCAGCCCGGCGCAAGCATGCCCCCCTCCTACTCCTCCGTCACTTCCGCCACCCCCTTCTCGGGCGCTGCTGGTACCGGTGCCGGCACCGACGGTGGCGGCGGCGGTGGCGGCGGCGGTGGCGGCGGTGGCGGCATCGCCGCATCGTCTTCCTCTCGTTCGGCGTCTCCGCCCCCGGCCACGACCACGACCAAGCCGCGTGGTGCGGTGCCGTTTAAGCCGTTCGCAACCAGACCCCCCACCGCGGCAACAGCTGCGACGGCCGCGGCGGCAGGCAATGGTGGTGAGATGGTGGTCAACGGAGCAGACGACACCCAGAGGCAGCCGGCGGCGGCGGTGGCGGCAACGGCGGGGTTAGGCAGGCATGACGATGGCGGCGGCGGCGACTTAATGGCATCGGCGACCCTCGTGAAGGACAAGGTGGGGACGGTTAGCGACGAACCGTCGTCTGAGGTGCCGTTGGCGGCGGCGGCGGCGGCGGCGGCGATGGCGGGGGCAAAGCCAGAGGGCGGCAGCGGCAGCGGCAGCGGCGGCAGTTCCGGCAATCCTCTGCAGAGTCAAGAGTCGCGGCGGGAGATCGTGGAGTGGGAGGTGGGGGGGGCAACTTTTTTGTTTTGACGAAACGTTTATTGTTGTGCGACCCTACAGCATACCGTTTCGCTTTTTATTTTCAAGAGAGTCAGTCGTGCCACTTGGCCGCTGTTTCCCGCTGCTCACGCGTTTGCTGCCCACGCCCTTGATCCTACCGCCTAGTTACGGCTGCCTCCCCCAGGGTTGCGACAAAACCACGTTTACAAGCATTAGATGCTGCTCACATAGTAAAAAAAATGACTGCTGTTGCTGCGCGTGACAACAAAAACGTGACCGCTACACACGGCCGCACGTATGGATTGTGCTCGACGACCGACAACAGCGACGGGTGTCGCAGGTGCTGTCCATCGACAGCATCCCCCGCCACGCGCTGGACTCCACGGGGGATTCCTTGGCGTCTCCCGAAGACCCCGCCGCCGTCGCCGGTTCTGGCGCAGCGGCCGACGAGTTCGCGCAGCAACAAAAGAAGAATCTCGGAGCTGCGGTGAGGGAAGGGAGAGGGGAGGGGGGGGAAGGGGGGGGGTAGTCTGGCAGACAGGTGTTATAGTAGTGATTTGGTTTGTTGTCTTGTCTTGTTTTGATGTTGCGTGGTTAGTTTTCTTCCAACACGAGCTGTACACCGAAAAGATGTGCAATTCTATGCTATGTACAACAGACCCAGCTGTCTGTTGCTGCGAAGCTTTTACTGGGACCCGCCGCCGCCGCCGCCGCCGTTCTTTCTGCTCCATTGCAAAAAAAAATGCCAGGACAACAACGGAGCAGAAGATGGAAGGGACGAGCGCTCTCGGGGCGGCGATCCCCCGGCAGCGGCGGCGGCGGCGGCGGAAACCGCCGCCGCAGCCGTTGCGCCGGCCGCTGGGGGCAACGAGAAGAGCAGCAGCAAGAACGATGTGCCACGGGGCTCGCCGCCGGAGGCGGGCGGAGGGCTGGGGGTAAGAGAAGCAGAGCGGGCGGCGGCGGCGCTCAAGAGGGAGAACAGCGGCGGTGGGGCCAGCAGCGGCGGGAACGAGAGCATTGGCTCCAAGGGCAGGAAGTCGAAGGGGCACAGGAGGAGAAGTGGCGAGGGCGGGGGCGGCAGGGACCGTGATGGGAAGGAGAGGGTCAGCCAGGATCTCAAGAAGGAGGTGAACTGTTTTGTTGGTGGAGTCCATTGGTCCCCCCCCCCCCCCGGTGTTGGTTGGTTGTCTTTGCCTGTGTTCCTCACAAGTCGCAGCATGCAGTGCGTCCACAATAAATGCCCTGCGTCCGGAAGACGTCGAAGTGGATTGTGTTGTGTGTGGGTGTCTGCTTGACGTGATGTGAAAACTCTTGAAGCCCGTCCCTTCCCGCCGGGGGGGCCCGTACGAAGCACGTTCACGCGCCCCACTGTCTCTGCCACCACCACCATCACCACCACGCATCGCTCTTCACTAATCACCACTCTTCTAAGCTATTCACTTATCACCACTCTTTCTAAGCTCTCGACTAATCACCACTCTTCTAAGCTCTTGACTCATCGCCTCTCTTCTACACGAGCTCTTGACTCATCGCCTCTCAACCAAGCTCACTCTCCCCCCTCCCCGCCCCCGAATTATATATCCAGCGCCAGCTTCGCAAGCAATACCAGGAAGAAAAATCCACCGCGGAGGCCGAGATAGCTCGCCTCAAAGCTGCGCTCGATGCGGCCACCACGACAACAACGGCCGTTGCGGCCACGTCAGCTGCGACGAGAGCGCTCCCCGCCGCCGACAAGAAGCTGGCGGCGGTCGGAGAAGCCGAGAACGCCGGCGGGGGCGGCGGGGGCGGCGGCGGGGGGCGGAGGTCGTCTGGCGGGCGGCGGGAGTTCCCCCCGGCGTTCGTAGTCTCTAATGTCTCAGGGGTGTCGACGGCGTCGATGTCGACGATGGGCTCGACGGGCGGTGCTGGTGCTGGCGCTGGCGCCGGCGTGGCCTCGAGGAGAAATAGCGGCCGCGACAATGGGGTCATCGGCAGCGGCAGCGGCAGCGGCGGCGGCGGCTGCGGCGGCGGCGGCGGCGGGGTGGAAGAGGTGCTTTCGTACACGGGTCCCGGAGGGGGAGGAGATGCGTCGTCGTCGGAGAAGAGCAGCAGGCGGTCGACGCTGGTGGAGGCGGTTGGGTTCGCGGCGGCGGCGGCGGACGGGCAGCAGCAGCGGCAGCAGCAGCGGCAGCGGCGGCCGAAGGGAAAGGGCTCGGAGGAGGAGCGGCCGGCTCTGCAGCACGCGGTGCCCATGTCCTCCGCCGCGGCTATGTGTAAGTGTTGGTGTTGTCACACACCCAAAAATCATTAACGCCAAGACCATACGCGCGCGCGCGCGTGCGCGCGTGCGTATACCGTAGCAAGCAAAGTATTTTTGACGGCACGCAAGCGCGTGCGCATGTACGTCGTAGCAAAGCAAGAATTTTGGGTGATGTATGATGCACTACCGCCGGTTTGTTTTGTCTCGTCGCCGTCTCTTGCTGCGTGTAGTGGCTGCTGTTGTGCTTTGTGTGCGAGCGGCTTGATTTTCTCACTTTTTTTTTTTCCTTCTCGACATTATGTGGGTGCGCGGGATCAGGAGCTACAATTGATTTACATCGCTTGCCCTCAAGCTGAGCCTTCTCGAGTCTTCAGGGTCTGCGGACCGTGTCACTCGGTGTGGGAGGTTGCGGCGCAACTGCTGCTGTAGTCTATCTGCAAGGCTAGAATAAATAGATGGAGGCTCGTTTTTTTTTTTTTTTTTCGGGCGTGGTTGTGAACAAAGCCTCCTGTCCCGAACACCTTGGCACGAACCCTTTTTTTGCCCTCTTGTCTCTCCGTCGTACGCGTTCAGCAAGTACGCGTTTAGTTCTGCGGGCTGTGCATGCGGGGCTACTGTAGAAGGCCGAGCCCTCCTCGTTCTCTGTGCACACCCGTTTTGATGGCCGCAAGGGGCTGAATAACTGCTGTTGAGCCCTCTCGTTCTCTGTACGCTTTCCCCCACCCCGCCCCACAAATCATCCGCAAAACAACAGTCGCACACTATCAGTACAACCCATTTCAAGCCTGAGCTCTCTCGTTCTCTGTACCACGCCCCTTCCCCAACAATGCTCTACATCCTCTCGAGGACGTATGGTCTTATCCACTGAGGCATGCAAAACACGAGTAGCCCCCGCCCCGCCGCCGCCCCCGAAAGGTTTAGTTGGCGGCCAACCCTATTCCCATGGCATGGGCTGGCGGCCGCGGCGTGCAAAACATGAGTACCCCCCCTCCCCCCCCCCCCCCGGTCCGGTGAGAACCCGGCGTGCTCCGTCCCGACTTTGTAGGGATGCGAGGTCAATGGTCTAACGACTACGGCATGCACGACTATGAGTACCCCCCTCCGCGCGCGTGCGTGCGCCGAATACAGTCGCAGCCTACCCGCTCCCCATGGGCCTGGCGGCGGGGGTGCCCGGACACAACTCCACGGTGGCGAGGGAGGCCGCTTCCATGGCCTCCAAGTTCGCGGCTGAGCCCGACGGCGGGGACCGTGCCGCCCTCGCCATCCTGTTTCGGAGCTGCCATGGTCTTCGGTGGCTGAGGAGGGCCGGGTGGGACGGGGACTCTGACGGGAGGCACGGGGTGGCGTGGACGGCGGAGAACGCGAGGGTGTTGAAGCTTGAGCTCGGGAACAACCGGCTCGAGGGTGGGTGTTTGGGCGTTTGGTTGGTTGGTTGGTTGGTTGCGTCTGTTTGTTTGGGTGCTGTTTCCAGAGCGTGTTTGTGTGTTAATTATTGTTGTTTTATTGGTTGTTGTTGTTGTTGTTGTTGTTGTCGTCGTCGTTGTTGTTGCTATTGCTGCTGCATGCTGCTGGTGTTGCTGTTCTTGTTTTTGCCGTTTGTTTTTGTTGTTTATGATAGTGGTGGTGTTGTTGTTGTGCTTTGTTTTTTTTCAGTCCCCTTTGCCACACATCCTGTGTGCGTTATATACGAAATCGAGTGGAACAGGACAAAACGGTCGTTGTAGTTACCGCGATCATCGAAAAATATATATGGTTTTGTATGGAGATGGAATAACTTTGCGCGGCGGTTATGTACATTTATTTCACCTCGCTGTTACGTCTCTCACGTTAAGGTACCCACACGTAGGTGCCGGCAGTGGCATGTTGGTTCTTGTGTGGAGTCTCTTCTTCTCTTCCGCTTCTCTCTTACGTAGTGGTCGATTGAACCAGGAGGTGTCGTAAGAAGTTGTGAGAGAGGAAAAGAAATACTCTCGAGTCTGCGAGAGCCAACAGGTGCACACATGCTAGTACTGCCGTGGCAGAAGAATGTTGAGCGTCCACCTAGGGTGCCACACGGATGGGAGTGTCGAAGTTGTTGAGTACTCTCATACATAAAGGCAGCGGTGTACTGCTAGAGCCCTCCGCACCGTAACTAATAGCATACCACCACTATCCCCCCCCCCTCCCCCGATACACGCATCAAATTGACGGTTTTGAAGAGCGTAATCGTACCGCCGCTAGAGTACGACGGAGAAGTATGGGAAGGAAATAAGAAGGTAGTGAAACAACTCGAGGCGGCGCAGATGAAAGCAGCGAAAATCATCCTAGGATGCTCCAAGCGCACAAGTAATGCAGCCGTCAGGGCAGAATTGGGGATCCAATCCCTACAGTCGGGAAGAGACGCAAGGAAGCTGACATGGCAGTATCGCATGTGCGGGATGGGAGAGGAGAGGTTGCCGAGAATAGTATGGGAGGCGAAGTGGGCAAACAAAAAGAGGGGTAGACAACCCACGGAATGGGTCAAGGTTGTAGAGGACGTGTGGAAGGGGTTAGACATCGACGAAGATGAAACGCTGGGAACGGAGGATCTACAGGGGTTCAAGGAGAAGATATCCGTTGCTTGTGCCGAGAGAAAAGAACATAATCTGAGGAAAGAAACCTAGGATAAGGAGGGTCTAGAAGTGTACGGAATGTTGAAAGAAGGAATAGGGTTCAAGCATTACCTACATGGACCAATGGATGCAGGGACAAAGCTGAAGGTCAAATTCAGGACCGGGGACATAGGCCTTCGAGAACGTCGACGAAGACATAGGACGGTAGACGACGAAGACGACAAGTTCAAATGTGATTGCGGCTTCGAATGCGAAGACCGTGTTCATGTAGTCGCGGAATGTCCGTGGTACGAAGAGGAGAGGGAAGTGTACATGACTGAGCTGGGAAAAATACATGGGTCGTACAGGGAGATGTTTGAGGCATGGAATAGAGAGGAGAGGACGGTAGCTGTGCTGGGGAGTAGGAAGTGGTTTGAAAAGGCGGGAAGGGATGTCGTTAGTATATACAGACTAGGGAAGACATTTTTGAGCCTCCTTTGGCAAAGTAGGAAGGAACGATTGGCCATCGGTGATCGGTCCTGCGGGAACAATGCTCCGTCCTCTCGAGGACGCGTGGTCAATGGTCTAACCGCTAAGGCATGCAAAACATAAGAGTACGCCCCCTTCCCCCCCCCGCCCCCCCTTATATATCCGTCTTGCTTGCGATTGCTGTACTGAACACTTGCACGATTTCTTGATCAGCTTTTTCATCTCACCAGCAATGATCCAATGCCGCTTGCGTCCTTTCTTGGTGTTTTTTTGCTTTGTTCGTTTGTAGGGTACATTCCGAAGGAGTTGGGCGTGATGTCACGACTGCTCTGCCTCCGGCTGGACCACAATCAGCTCATGGGTGAGTGAGGGACGAACGAAGGAGCAGAGACGGGAAAGAGGAGAGGAGAGAAGAGAGGACCTGCTCAAGGAGTTGTAGTTTACCAGCGACGAAAATCGCGGTCTCCAGGAATATTTCGCTCGTCCTTGTTGTGCGTGCGCGTCTCAGCTTTTGCTGCTGCTGCTGCCTCTGAGTTTGCTGGTGCTGGTGCTTCTCTGTTGCTGCTTCTGCTACTGCTGCTGCTTCTGCTACTGCTGCTGCTGCTGCTGCTACTGCTGCTGCTGCTGCTGCTGTGATGGTTGGCTGAACCTCAAAACGACTTAATTAACTACATAGCGTTTGTTTCATTTTTTTCTTTTTTGAGAGAGAGAGTCGTTTGACGTCAATCAACCACCGCCGCCAACCCCGGCGAAGACTCACGGGGGCGTTCTCAAGTCCTCGTCAAGGTGGACGTCCTGTGATGCTACCCGGAACCGAAAGGAGAAACGCGCTGCTTGCAGAAGCAATTGGTGTCGATCCTCCGATCCTCCGCTTGCATTGCTGTGTTTTGTTTTGCCTCCTTTTTTGCACGCGGTCGATTGTTTTGCTCAACATACTACTAGCAGTAGATGATGATGAATTCCTCTTGCTTTCCAGGTCACCTTTGGTTCGGTGCGGTTCTCGTCTGTTTAATTTTTTTGGTGCGGTTCGTTTTGCTTGTTTTGTGTATTTTTCTTTTCTTTTTGAGGTTGGTTCATTTCTTTGTTCGGTCCATTTCTTTTTTTTTATTTTTACATTAGGTATATATTGTCTCTCTTTTTTCGTTGTGTGTGTGTGTTTTTTTTTTTTTTTTTTTTTTTTTTTACTCTTCTCGTCCAGGGCTCATTCCGCCCGAGATTGGACTCCTGGTCACCCTCCAGCAGCTGGAGCTGCAGGGCAACGCGCTGACAGGGATCATACCGAGGGAGCTCGGCGGCTTGGTCAACCTGCAGTACCTCGGACTGCACGATAACCAGCTCTTGGGTACGTTTTTTGTTTTTGGATGATGTATCTATAAACAGAAATAAATACTACCTCGTTCGAGATTAACAACCTCTTGTGTGTTTCGCGCGTTGACCTGCATACAGTATTCCTAAAAGAGCACTATTATTTTGCGTGTTGAAACTATTGTTGTGTCTTTTTCTCGCACTGTTGTGTGTGTTTTTTCTCGCACAAACATACAGACAGGCAACCCTACGCCCCCCCCCCCCCCCCGGTAATAAAAACCTTTTGCTTGAAAAAAGTGGTTGGTTTTTTTGGCCCCCGAAAAAAATGAAAG